CTCCTCCTTCCTCTCTTCCTTTTTCTCCTCCTCCTCCTCCTCATTCTTCTCCTCTCCTGCCTCCTCCTTCTCCTCCCTCTCTTCCTTTTTCTCCTCCTCCTCCTCCTCACTTTTTTTTCATTTCCTCCTCTTCCCCCTCTTTCTCTCCTCCACCTCGTCACCCTCCTACCCTCTCACCCCTCCTCTTCACCTGCCTCCTCCTCTTCATACTCTTTCTCCTCCTCCTCCTCCTTCACCTTCTCCTCCTCCTCCATCTATTCATCCTCCTTCCTCCACCTTCTCCTCTTCCTGCTCCTCCACCTATTCTCCTCCTCCTCCTCCACCTAATCCTCCTCCTCCTCCTCCTCCTTCTTCCTGCTCCTCCACCTATCCTCCTCCTCCTCCACCTATTCCTCCTCCTCCTCCCCACCTATTCCTCCTCCTCCTCCTCCTCCTCCTCCTCCTTTCCTAGACTTTCCCCCCCCCCTCCGCCCCGTGTACCCCCTCTCCTCCTATATCTTCATCCCCCCCTCCTCCTCCCCTCCCCTCCCCTCCTACCTCCCCGCCGCCGTTGATTGAATATAGCTGAACGTCTCCCGGGGGATCCATGTGTCTTATGTTCTTTATGGCCTTTTGTTTTATCTTTATGCTGCGTTTTGGCTTTTTCCGGATGTCCATATTTGTGTTGTTGTTTTTTTTTTTTTTTTTTTTCTTTATGGTGTATTTTTTTTTTTTTTTCGGTGATTTGGTTTCTGGCGCTTGGGTCGTCTTTTTTTTTTTTTTTGGCGGAAATGGCGGATCGCGGTAAGGTTAGGAGGGTAGGAAGGGGAGGGTGGGGGTGGGGGAGGAAAGCATGTGCCGGTATGTGAGTGTAAAGGCAGGCACTGTTATGCGATGGAGTGCTGTCTGTGTCTGTCTGTCTGTCTGTATCTGTCTCTCTCTCTCTCTCTTCTCTCTCTCTCTCTCTCTCTCTCTCTCTCTCTCTCTCTCTCTCTCTCTCTCTCTCTCTCTCTCTTCTCTCTCTCTCTCTCTCCTCTTCTCTCGCTCTCTCTCTCTCTCTCTCTCTCTCTCTCTCTCTCTCTCTCTCTCTCTCTCTCTCTTTCTCTCTCTCTACTCTCTCTCTCTTCTCTCTCCTCTCTCTTTCTCTCTCTCTCTCTCTCCTCTCTCTCTCTATCTCTCTCTCTCTCTCTCTCTCTCTCTCTCTCTCTCTCTCTCTCTCTCTCTCTCTCTCTCTCTCTCTCTCTCTCTCTCTCCTCTCTCTCCTCTCTCTCTCTCTCCCTCCCCCTCTCTCTCCTCCCTCCCCCTCTCCCCCTCTCCCCCCCTCTCCTTCTTCTCCCCTTCTCCTTCCCTCTCCCCTCTCCCCTCTCCTTCCTCTCTCCCCCTCTCTCTCCCTCCCTCTCCCCCTCTCCTTCCCTCTCCCTCTCCTCTCTCCTCCCTCTCCCTCTCTCTCTCTCTGTCGGTTCCCACTCCCAAGTATTACACCAAATATTGAAATTATCGTACCTCATCCCCGACTCCATATTCACCCACAATTTCCATATATAGACTATATGTTTGTTTATCCCGCGTTGGGCATTCCCCTTGCACACATGGGTTGATTACAAACAAAGCCCCGTTGGATAGACTGATGGCTGTGTGTTTATAAACAATATTTATTACAGGTCGATCGAGCAGCAATGGTCGAGTTTATCGCCGTCCATTCGAGGCGTAATGGATAGGGGAGTCATCTATCCGGAGAGGTCTTTTGGCTTTCATTATTCGTCGGGTTTTTCATCTCTCGAGGTGGTGGGATGGAGAGAGAGGGAGGGAGGGAGGGATAGAGGGAGAGAGATAGGGGTGGGCCAGGGAGGGAGAGAGAGAGGGATGGAGAGAGAGGAGGGAGGAGGGGGAGGGGAGAGGGAGGGAGGGAGGGAGATAGGGGTGGGAGGGAGGGGGAGGTGAGGGAGGGGGAGTGGGGAGGTGAGGGAGGGGGAGGGAAGGGGAGGGGAGATGAGGAGGGAAAGGGAGGGGAAGGGGAGTGAGGGGTGTTGGACTCCGTAGAGTGGAAGGGGAGTTGAGTGTAGTGTAGTAGTATTTTTTTTTTTTTTTATATTATTTTTCCTCTCTCCATTCTTTCTCTCTCTCTCTCTCTCCCTCTCCCTCTCTCCCCTCTCTCTCCTCTCTCCCTCTCTCTCCCTCTCTCTCTCTCTCCCTCTCTCCCTCTCTCTCTCTCTCTCCCTCCCTCCCTCCCTCCCTCTCTCTCTGTTCCACTCCTCTCTTCCTCTCTGTTTTCATCACGTGCCCGCCATGCTGTCCCTCTTAAGTGCTGACCAGACGAAGAGTCCACATTTTTCGTTATGCTTCGTGATGCACACAAACTGGGCTTTGTGAACAGTGAGCGCCACAAAGTACACTAAGAACATAAAATTCACTACCAGCAAGGGACCGATATGGAGGTAGAAGAGCTCTGTGCATTACGGGACCTGAGTACAAAGGGCATAGAATGACGGTGCACAGAGGAGGAAACAAACGACTTTCGTACAGGATGCTCCCGGGCTGAGAACAAGCGCGTATTGCATCGATTCCGAACCTCGAGACGAAGCTGCCCGACCGGAAAACCCAAAGACAAACATGTTTTCATAAAAATCGCTGGAGCTTGCCTTGGGAAACATGAATGCCTTTTTTTTCATCCGATGTCAAAGAGCAAGATCCCGGATGTCGTATTGGCTTCGTTAAATGGGATGCCAGCTGAGAGGCCGGAGCGTCCGAGCAGCCGGGCGAGTCGTCCAGCTGTGCCGACGCGTGTGTGGTCTTGCTAAAGCGGCTTTGCGTTGCCTAATGAGCGCTGTTTCGCGAAGCCCGTATTAGCAGGTGGCTTGTACCAGGTAGAAGGCACATTGTCGGTAATGGGAGTCGTATGTTTGCGCGCAGAACCTTTCTCGTTATTTATTTATCTATTCCGTCCATTCAAATTTATAGCTATGAATACTTCTACATACTACTTCCCAATAGTACGCTGCCCTATTACACCCCCTCCCCTCCCCTCCCCCCACCACCGTAAGTGACTTTTTCTCCCACCTCGCGCCGCCAGGATCCATAACCCCTCGCCTTCTGGTCGTCTTTTTGCGACAAACTTTTTATCAGGTGAGCTCCTACGACCTCCCCCCCCCCCGGGTCGTCTTCTCCGCCGCTGTGCCCGCCCGAATGTGCTGACGCGGCTGTTCACGGGCGGCGACGGTTGTGGCGTGCGGGCGGTGAGGGTGGGGTGTGAGGGAGCAGAGGTTGTGGTGGGGGAGGGTCTGGCACGCCCGGATACAGTGTCGAGAGTGGATATGGTGTGTCGTGAGCTAGAGGGGCTTGTGGTGAGGGTCTCCTGATGAAGGGTGAAGTGGATCTTGGGTGGGGTGGGGTGGGGGGGGGGGGTCTGGGAGCAGGGCCGTTCCGCCGGTCTTTGGTCTCATTGATGGCAATTAATAAGCCACCGTTCTTTTAATTGATGTCGTTTGATCCTATCCAGCAGAGACAAAAAGAGACGTTTGCACCTGTTGACTTATTTCAACAAAGGCATTGGCAACGTGCGAGGCTTCGTTATAACCAAGGCTTTTTAGGTTCTGGAATTGAATTTTCTTTTGAATTATTGTTATTGATGTTTGCAAAGCTATGTTATGTGCATCAATTTCCTTTGAGTTCCTGGTATTCTGTATGAAAATTCCGTTTTCATAGAGAATTTCTTTAGATGATCTATCTATCTTTTACTATGTTCTTCTATAACACACACACACAGATATATGTGTGTGTGTGTATGTATGTATTTATATGAATTATACATATATATATATATATATATATATATATATATATATATATATATATATATATATATATATATATATATATATATATATAATATATATATATATATATTATATATATATATATATATATATGTATATATATACATATATGTATGTATGTGTGTGTATGAGTATGTATATATATGTATCAATCAATCCAAAGAGCCCTTGAGTTTCTAGTGAAAGACACGTTTGTTTATTGCGGTTATTTATTTACCCATTTGACTAAAGAGACGCGTTATACATAGCGAATGCGTGAGTCCAAAAGAATGATCGAAAAGTGTCGGGAGAACTTATAGCGAAGTCTTAGGGGTCATCCATAACTTTCATCATTTTTACGAGCGTGCAAACCGTACGCGGAGGGACGGTGGGGGGGGGGGGGGGGTTAAGACTAGGCCTACACCTTTTTTTAGTGTGAAAAATGATAATCCGTCAATGGGCGAATCGGCGGCCGCCATGTTTCAAAAAGTATACAACTACTCATAGTGAGTGTGTTGCAGGGGTGAAGGCGTAAAGTCGCTCTAGGGGACTGTGGCTCTGCATTTGGCGAGGCTCAGCTGGAAGACCCAGCTGAAGTGACATCGGATGAAATTTCCGCCGCGATGATATTCGATCAGTTCATAAAAGGGTGGTCAGCAATTTTCATGTTTAATTCGTTAGAATATGGGAAAATATTATAATATTCCTTTAAACACTAATCAGTTGCCTCAAGTCATCTGTAGTCATAAAAAAGAAAAGAAAAATACAGCATACTGGAAAAAAATCCGTAGGCCCTTTGTATAGACCTGTCATCAGACTTTTGAATTTAATATAGTGAAAGAACAATAAAACAAAACGTGGTTTTATTTTGAATGTATGTAATTTTCTTAGAATCACAAAAAAGAACTCGCATATAGATAGGGAGATCCTGATCCATAATTTTCGTTCGCTATTGTACACTTTAGGGGGGGGGGGGAGTTGCTCAAATGTCTTAAGCTTTGCAGACTTGTAATAATGATGAAAATTATGGAGAACCCCTTATGTTACTTGTTATTATCCGTCTTGTTCTAGTCCGTGTGAGTCGCAGCAGACTTTCCCACTTGTAGATCGACCCGAATGCTTTATGTCGCGACTTCCGGGTCTGCGGGAATCGAGGTCTTCCGGATTTCCTTGTCTGAGACTCGAAAGATATTAATTTGCTAAGAGATTATGACTTCTCGAAATCGGAGGCGCGTGCTGTCTGCTTGCGAGGCGATCCACACAGTTCTCAGGATGTTTGTATGGTTCATGCACTCCCTTCAGATGTTTGTATGGTTCATGCACTTCCTTCATTTGATTGAATATCACTTGCCACAGTATTTTCAACTCTTGCGAAAAAGAAGCTCGTCGTCAGGAGAGTTACAGAATGACCGCGAGAGAGCCTTGGTATTTGAATGCGGGGGACGAACACCGTAGAGTTTGTTGACCTTCCAGGAGGTGTTCACATGATCACCGCCCAAGCATGCACGCCCACACACACACGAACGCACGCACACACACACACACACGAACGCACGCACACACACGAACGCACGCACATACACACACGAACGCACGCACATACACAAACGCACGCACACACACGAACGCACGCACGCACACACACATACGAACGCACGCACAACACACATACGAACGCACGCAAACACACATACGCACACACACACACACACACACACACACACACACACACACACACACACACACACACACACACACACACACACACACACACACGCACACACACACACACGAACGCACACACAGAACGCATGCACACACACACGAACGCACGCGCACACAACGCACGCACACACACAACGCACGAACACACACACACACACACACACACACACACACACACACACACACACACACACACACACACACACACACACACACACACACACACACATATATATATATATATATATATATATATATATATATATATATATATATATATCTGTGCGGTGCGTTTGTATGTATGTATCTAAATATATATCACAGTATATTTGGAAGTTAAAACTGCATTAATTCTAAACGCCATTAGCGAAGATTTTCCTTGGTGTTTCCGCCTCGGCTTTGATATGGCCGCAGGAGCTTCATTCGGAGGCTCTCCTGTCGGCAGCTCTCGGAGATTAGGGAACAAATATCTCAATGCATTTAGGTAACCGCCAGCCGCATAAACACGGTGTGTGTGTGTGTGTGTGTTGTTTGTTTGTTTGTTTGTGAACGCGTGTTAGTACATGCATGCGTAAGTAAAAAAAAGAGTGTGTGTGTGTGTTTGTGAACGCGTGTTAGTTCATGCATGCGTAAGTAAAAAAAAAAAGAAAAAACTTATATGTGTATTTACGCACAAATAATGTATGTTTTAAGAAATAAAACGGCAGTATATACACTAAAAGAGGTACATCAAATACAAGAAATTATACACCCTGTAGTGTAGCGTATACACTGCAAAGGCACGCAGGCAGACAGACAGACATGGACGCAAGTACCGCTTAACTATAAATACCTCAAAAGTACCCAGCGCGTGGTACAATATTCTCTCCCTTCCAACGCTCGTGGACTAATCTGCATACAGGACGGATCTGTGTGCGGGAGGACTCGGCCCTGTTGGAGCGGCCGGGTTGGGGACGCCGAGAGGGAGTGGGAGGAAAGGGGATTTGAGTGGGAGGCTGGGTCGGGAGGTCGCCGTGTCTGTGTCCGAGTGCGTGGGTGTCTGTTTCGAGTGTGTCTGGGAGCGAGTGTGTGGGTGTCTGTTTCGAGTGTGCCTGGGAGCGAGTGTCTGAGTGTGTGGGGGGTTTTAAGAGTCTGTGTGGGAGCGAGTGTGTGGGTGTCTGTTTCGAGTGTGCCTGGGAGCGAGTGTCTGAGTGTGTGGGGGGTTTTAAGAGTCTGTGTGAGAGCGAGTGTGTGGGTGTCTGTTTCGAGTGTGTCTGGAGTGTCTGAGTGTGTGGGGGTTTGAGTCTGTCTGGGAGCGAGTGTCTGAGTGTGTGGGTGTCTGTTTCGAGTCTGTCTGGGAGCGAGTGTCTGAGTGTGTGGGTGTCTGTTTCGAGTGTGTCTTGGAGAAGCCGTCAGCTTGTCTGTGCAGTATAATCGTGATGATTGCTTTTTCTAGAAGTCATTTTATCAACGCTTTAAGAATTTCCATTGTCTGAGGGCAGATACGATTTCCTTTGCCTTGTGAAAATTAAAATCCTTTACGAATAGTGAGTTCCATTACAAAGTGAAATGCATGTATAGGTGTGCAATTATTTTGACTCATTGTATTGCAAAGGGGGCACATCCCCCAAGGCCGTTATGGTAAGTGTTTGCAAGACCAATTTCTTATTGGCTCTTATATGAATTTATTTGATATTGTTATTGATATTACTGTTAATATTATCATATTGTTATTATTATCACTACTATTCAGAAAGTCGACTCTTCTTTTTGGCGTAGATTTCAGTATATCGAGGAAAAATTTCCCCCTTTTTAACATTTCTATCGTACTCTAAATTCTAAATTTGATTTTGCAAGGGGCACTCGTTAGGGCTATGAATAATTAATTTAATCACGGCAGCTGAAAATGGTAAATGTGGGTCATTTGGTCCGTAGGTTTTATGTCAATAATTTCACGAAATGGCAGGGTAGTTCATGGCGCAGTCCGTTTCGGTTTAATTGCAACCTTAAATTCAAGTTGATTTTTTTTTTCAGAGTGGTGTACAGTTATCCCGGTGGAAGACATGTTTTTTTTTATTATTGGATAATGTTGAAAAATAAGGGTAAGGTAGCTAAGCAGAGCGATTGTAAGAGTGAAGAGGTCGTCTTGGATAGTGAGTCGGGGAGAGGGGGCGCTGAATATGTTTTCAGGGGCCGTCGGGAAGGCAGGGGGACGATCAAACAGGAGCAGGGGCGCGGCAGGGGGGTGAGGACGGGGTGGCAGAGGAGGGCGGAAGGAAACAAGGTCCCAGGGGGGTCCTCAGAAGGAAATATGAGAGCATCACTAGGAGCGGACGGGGCTGTGGGAGAATTACTTTACAAATGTAACGCGTGGAGGGAATGTTAAGGCGTTACAGGAGGGTGAAGAAGGAAGGCGCGAGACGTTACCTGCGGGGGGCGGGAGGGGGAGAGTGGGGGCGGATGGAGGGAGGGTGGGGTGGGGGGCGTTGTTGTGGGTGAGAAAGATGAGCTTACTCTTAGTTAGGGCTTCGGTTGGGCGCCTGGGTCTATTTTCCCTGTCGAATGGAGAGCCAGGGACAACTGTGTCTGTCATTTATTAATCGGTTCCGTCTTTAGCTCTTCGCGGACATATTTACCCCAGCCAATATCGCAATATCATAATCCATTTACCGGTTGTGTGAGAAAATCCGGCACCAGTATATACTGATTCGATTTTAGACCCAAATGGAGAGTAATACTTTCTTCCTCAGACAACGGACAAGTCTGAGAAAGTCTGGACGGTGGCAGCATTGTGATTCCAATAGCCGGCATGTCTTACAAGACCAACAAACCAGCCAAGCCAATGACTCACCCACCTGACGAGGTTCGTTGGCCAATCAGCGCTTTCTTGCCATCCCGAACCCGAGTCACGTCCGCCAATCAGCTCACTCATAATTTCCTCCTTTGTGTCGGGCAGTCCCTGGTCAGTTTGGGGTCGTGTATAGAAAAATCATTTAGGGTTTCCCCCGAATATGTATTTATTAGCCCCGGCAGAGCGCGGCAGAACTGGGCTTCGCATTTCGATGAAAAGCACAGAGACAGTAATCAAGTTCACGTAAGGCATCCATTAACGAAAATCGGGAATGGTTTGATATATTTTTTTTTTTACGGAAGAAAGTTTAGGTTGTGGACGAACTCTAAACAAGGTTAGGCGATAGTGAGAAATACCGCAATAGAATTGTGAGCGGCGTTTGTGTGCCGTGGCCTCACTCGGAACACGGAGGCGGGGGGGGGGGGGGGATTCTCTCGTGTTCAACGCCGTGTCCGACCCACGCCGGGAGATGGCGCTTCCCCGCTGAAAAATCGATTTTGTTTTCAATTTTAAAGCTACGATTGGTGTGGGGCGTTTTGGGCGGACATTCACACGTGCTCGTTTAAGGGTACTGACACGTGGTTTACGCTCGAGGTTTGTGCTTTGGAAGAACTGACGGTGCTGCAGGAAGCCCGTGCAGCTGGAGAGGGACCAGTCAGCTGCTCTGTTCATTTGTCTTTTGGTCTCTCCCCACTCTCGCCTTTCCTCTCTGCTTCTTTATTTTCCATTTTCTTTTTTTTCTTTTTTTTTTCTTTTTCCCCCGCTTTCTTAATTTCTGTCAATATGAATTGCAGGGGAACATTTTTTTAAACATTTGTTCCAATTAGTGTTTTGTATTGAGCTCCGCCTTTCCCCCTTCATCTTTGTCAAACAGAGGAAACGATACCATATTTTACCTCCTTTCCATTCTTTATTTTACATTTTCCCCTTCGTGGGTCACCCCCCCCCCCTCCTCCTCCCCGTCTGTCTCGCGGGAGGAAACACGACTCACAAATGAGTGATGACGCGTCTGTTTCTCTATCCCCGTATTTGTGGGTGTGATTCATCCGCGTCTCGGCTTGTCCTCCGCCCCCGA